AATGTTATACATGTAACTATTAGCAAATACCCAACTGCTACCTTAGCTGTCTGTTGACTTACCATTATTTCAAACCCATCTTGTCTGGCAGCTTTTGCAATCAAAATTGTGATCAAACACATTTTGTTTTTCCAAGATGAGCTCAATAAATTCTCTATAGGCTCCTCTTGTTGTGTTTCTCTTTTTTTTTTACTGGTTTACTTTTTCATTAGTGTTATTTCAGTTATTACAGTATATGCGTAGTATGACAATGTCCAAGCTGACAGGCAGGAAAACAAAAAACAAAGGAGGGAAAAAACCGGAGAAAATCTAATAGTGAGTATTAAGGAAATGAAACGACAACAATGATGGAGCTAAGCACCAAACATTATCAGTCCTACCTTCTGTAATGTAAAGAGACAATGTTAATTTAACGAGATTAAAAAAAAAAAACTATGGCACACAACTTGTGTGAAAAAATTAATTTAACACAATTATTTGTGTCTAGAAAGTGTTATGTTTCTCTTAAAAGTCACAGATTGAGGCAGAGAAAAAGTCATCAGCAACTAGACAGAAACCGTGGCCACGGGTCTCACCAGTGTTGCTGAGCCAAAAATAAACAGGACTGTAGCTAAATATACAGACAAGTGTTATTCTAATATTTATTTAAAAGGCAATGGACTCTTTAATAGTAGTACTGAGTTTGAAATTCTAATGTTGTTATAGCCCTACACTTGAGTGTGAGCAACAATAATTGCTACATAGGTTTGTGAAAGATGTGTACATTTCAAAACTGCGAGTGCTGCTGACCGACTTGCCAAACAGGTTTGCAAACCTCTGGGAATTTCCAAAGCATTTGACATGCAAACCTCGAAACCCCTGACATATAATAACATTTTCTCTCAGGAAAAGACTTGCTTTCTAGTTCTTTGGTAATGTCATGTAGTCTCAGAGTTGAGGCAGGCCTCAGATCATCATGGAAAGATTGATGAGAGATGGAGAGGTGGTTTTAGACTTCTATATTTTACAGCAGGAAGAACTTTGCATATGCTAATTGTAATTTAAGGCTTTCAGTGATTTATTTGAACTGTTCTGTTGCCAGGGTGGAATGATTGTACAGCATAAATCTTTAACAAATCTCAAATACATACACTGCCACTAACATTTGATTAAAGGTCACTTAGCAAGTTGCACCTTAACTAGCAAGATGCTTTTGGCAGTTATTTACAACCTTCTATCATAACTTTGCCAAGATACTTGAATCAGTTTAAATTGGTTGGTTTACTGGCATGCACACAGCTTTTCAACTTAGTCCATAACTTTTCGCATATTTTTGGGAATGAAATTCCAGAATTCCGCTTTATAATAATAATAATAATGGATTGGATTTATATAGCGCTTTTCAAGGCACCCAAAGCGCTTTACAATGCCACTAGTCATTCACACAATGGTGGAGGCAAGCTACGGTTGTAGCCAGACTGACAGAAGCGAGGCTGCCATATCGCACCATCAGCCCCTCTGGCCAACACCAGTAGGCGGTAGGGTAAAGTGTCTTGCCCAAGGACACAACGACCAAGACAGAGAGCCCGGGTATCGAACCAGCGACCTTCCAGTTACAGATACGCTTCCCAACCCCCTGAGCCACGGTCGCCCCAAAACCAATTTAGTATCATTTTCTTACCTAGAAAATCTAATTGTGTCTAAGCTTCAATTGTCTATCTGTTGAGGTAGGCAACTGAAGCTTGTAAACGAAGCTGGCGAAGCTGAAGAATTTGAAGGTGGTCCTGCTACATTATTCTATCCACGCTGTGCAATGTAGAAGTACCACTGGCAGAACAACAGGCCTGGAACATGATGCCACACCACCATGCTTCATAGCTGGTGCAATGTTGTTTGGTTTGAAAGCCTCACCTTTAATCCTCCAAACACACTACTTGTCATTGTAGCCAAATAGCTCAATCAAGGTCAAGTTTACTTATTTAATCAATGTCTTGTCTTCCCATATGGGCAGCTGCAAATTTCATTCAAGCTTTAAGGTGTCAATTCTGAAACAGGGGCTTCTTCCTTGGTCAACACCCGCTAAGTCCAAGGGGGTGTAAAACTTGCATCACTGTAGACAGTGATATTTGTATTATGCAAGTTTCCAGTTCATGGCAGGCTTGAGCCTTGACGATCCCTTACCAGTTTCCCCTCATCTGACATTTTGGTGACAGTTTGGGTCTTCTTCCAGACGTTGGCAAGGTGGTGACATATCAGAATAACTTGTACTTGTTTTAACTGATGATCTTAGATTCTGCATTTGTTTAGAAATGGCTACAAAAGAAAACTTATAAATCTACAGTTCTTTTTTTAGATCATCACTGAGATCCTTGGACTTTCCCATTGTTCTGATCGTTGGTCAGTCCAGTGAGTGCTGTCAAACAAATTCTTTTTATGCTAGTAAAGAGAAACTACCAGTTTTAGTGAAAACCTACCTCTCAGAATCAGATGGGAATTTTATTATGAACTAATCTGTCAGTTAGGTTAGTTCCTTGTCAATTTGCATATACAAGCTCATGCTTCTTCCTGCTCCTTTTTGAACATGAAAGATATTTGTAGTTGTGGTTGCTCGTTTTCTTTTTGTTTTGCTTTGTTTATTTGTCTCTTTTAATTCTATGTTGTTGTACTTTTTTAACATGTTCAAAATAAAGATTCAATCAAATCAAATCAAATCAAGTGAAGTCCAAAGACAAAAAGCAGCAATCTGGCACTGGAGAATTTTTGGTATTTTCCCAAAGAAGGATTTAAACAGCTGACTGATTTTTTAATTACCGTAAATGGAAACCTATTTTTAGCACACGTTTTTTGATCGTGGAATCCAAAAACAAGTTAGCCTTGTTTATGTCTATATAGTCACTTCCTGCTTTTGTGCATACAAAAGCTTCCATTCTCTTAACTGGTGACTGCATCACATGAGGCCTCGGTGTACTACACCACTGAGCAGAAGAAATATTTTCTACAGCACTGTAACATAATCCAAATAAAAGACTGAAACTTCACGTGCGGGGTTTTTAACTGAGCTACTGAGTAGGAGGAGATCTAGTAGTTACCATGGTGCGAAAGGGAAGGAAACTGAGGTGCTGCATGGGCGATGTTGTTTTTATTTGCTTGCACTGTTCTCCTTGAACACAAGGCAGGGCTTCCACAATAATACTATCACATTTTTGCCAGGCTCCACCTCGCACAGATCACACTGCTGCCTTCAAGGGCTTGAATGAACATCAAAGGCAACTGTGTGATTTTGCATTCCTGTCAAGAGCATTACAACCTCTGGAGCTTCCCTACTCATGAAAAGCCCCCTCGTTCCCACAGCCATCTTTAATGATTTTCTAAACACTCCGGGTTTAGTGGCACGGCACATCATAGTGCGAGAGTCAAGTAAACACACGAGGCTTCCACTGTGCCTTTTTGGTCACTCTCCCTCCTCTCCATCTTTCTCCCTCTTCATGATGCACGTGTACCTCCCGTGGGCAAGGGGAGGGTGGCAGAGAAAAATCAGGAGGCAGAGAGCCAGAGCCTCAGATACCAGCACTGCATGCATCAATGATAGTGTGGCTGGCTGCCCTGCACAAAATATTATTTACAGCTCACGCTGAAGAGAAATTACAGCAGCAATCCTCTCCTCAAGCAGGAAAACCAGCTGACCTGGCAACACTTAGAGAGAGGCCAGGAGGAGGGTCAGGAACTATAATTATTATATTGCTTCTCCCTATTCACTCTCAGTATCTATACTGCTCACACAGCGTGTGAGGGATTCAGCTCAGTGGTGACAACAGGTTACTGGTGCATAAGAAGTGGATAAAGAGGCAGTAAAGGCGGTGTAGCATTTATAAACGCAGATACTCCACTTTCAACTAGCCCACTCATGATTAACCAATGAGAAGGGCAATGAAACCAGTGGATGAACTTTAAAGAGGCAAGCATTTAATTCACCAGTTATGAAATATTATGCCTAAGCGATTAATGTTGGCAAAACGCCACCTTCCACCACTGAAAAAAATGTTCATGGCCAAGCACATAGCAGGGACTGTGCGATTATGCTTCCTGAGGACAAATATGCATTCATTATCTGGTTAAATTGATTTCGACTAACAGATGTGTTGTTTCACTTACACTAAGACTAACAGTATAAATTACCCACTGTATGTACAATATATATAACCAATGTTCTATATTCAAAATTTAAGAACCTGCATCAAGTGACATTCATAGCATTTATATTAACTGAATGGATGAAATAGTTGTTTTCACTAATCAATACTGAGTCAACAGATGTGGACCATAAAGACAACACGAGGTGGCACACCTGGTTTGATAGATTCTGTTTTCACTTACAAGTGAATAAATTTTTGGAGCCCAGAGAATAGAAACATTTCCCTGGGCATGGGTGTCTTCTCAATCGAGCTGTAGTTTCCAGGTGTTTACTGATATTATTGCTCTTGTGCGTTGTTATTTATTCTTTTTGCTTTTTTAGAACTTGAAAACCATTTTAAAAGGTTTCATTATCATCACTGTATTACTGAAAGTGTTAATGACGATAATAATATTGTTGCTTAGGATGACGACAGACTGTACTTCCCTTTATCACTGCAAAACTTGCACTAAAAGTGCAGTTGACTGCCCGTTAATGTTAACTTGCATCTGTCGTGACTTCCTGGCTGGTAAGAACTTACCTAACAACCAGCTGCTTGACTAACGAGAGCTGTGAAGTGAGACAACAGCTGGTTCGTGTTATCTGGCGGTGTGAGGAAAACTGTTTGTTGCAATGTGTGTGGATTCAATCGCAATTACAACGAAGACAGCAAAGGGGAAATACATCACGCAAGGGCACGCTCAGCACTTCATTTTTATTTGGGGAGGGGAAGCAAAACCACAGCGGTTAAACGCTAGCAGTGGCAGCTGGATGTCATAAGCTAACCGTGTGTGCGCGCGCGCGAGTGTATGCGTGTGTGTGTGTGTGTGTGTGTGTCAGGCACACATACCCAACGGTTCAGTCTTCTCCGTAGCATCTTTTTTTCCTTTAATTTCACAATGCTGATGAACTCTTCAGATTCAACAGACGCCTCCGGGCTCTGCTTCAGTTTCTCTGGTGAATAACTTTACATGTATGTTAGTAAACGTGCTAGCTCCTTGGCTATCTATTCTCTACTCTAACGTTAGTTCTAGCTATATGAAATGCCGCAGCGACGCTACATCGTTTCCATTTTGTTTGATTTCGGTATCTTCGCACCATTCGCATTCTCTCTCCCCTCTGAATATTTTCCGCGTTGCGGTGTACTAGTCGCGCTTCCCGCTGCTCAAGGCTGAAACAGTGCCTGACATTTCGCTCTGAGCCCTGTTGCTTACACGCGAAGGAACCATTTGTCGCCTCCGAGTCTCGCCTTCCCGCTGACTCAAAAAGCTGGCTAACGCCACGGTAAAAACTAACTTCTCCTGCGAGTCCCCCGTGCACAGGTCGCCTCACCTCCCTGTCAAACAATTTTCACTCCAGCAGCAACAGCAGCAGCCCACCAACGTTCCCACGTTCACAAGCTCCACCCGGCGAAGGTGCGGCTTGCACTGCACTGTGGGTAATGTTGTCTAAATTCCCGT